AGGTTACAGTCACACACAGTACAGCCTACAGGGGAACACAGGGTACAGTCACACACAGTACAGCCTACAGGGGAACACAGGTTACAGTCACACACAGTACAGCCTACAGGGGAACACAGGGTACAGTCACACACAGTACAGCCTACAGGAGAACACAGGGTACAGTCACACACAGTACAGCCTACAGGAGAACACAGGGTACAGTCACACACAGTACAGCCTACAGGGGAACACAGGGTACAGTCGCACACAGTACAGCCTACAGGAGAACACAGGGTACAGTCACACACAGTACGAACCACAGAGAAACAAAAGGCACAGTCACACACACGGTTCAACCTACAGGGGAACACAGGGTACAGTCACACACAGTACAGCCTACAGGGGAGCACAGGGTACAGTCACACACAGTACGAACCACCAGAGAACAAAGGGTACAATCATACACATTACAGCCGACAGGGGAACACAGGATACATTCTCAGACACACACACACACACACACAGTACAGCCCAGACAGAAACAAACTGTAGTCAAACATGTACAAAGTCTACATATCAGTATTTTACACTCAAGAACACATGCACAATCCACACATATACTCGCACCATAAGCGTGCTGTTGACAAGTTAGCCCGGCACCTGCAAAGACTACAATTAACACACCACCTTGGTTAATTCATGTGCACAGAAGCTACACAGAGTGCGGACACATATATGCAAAATTGTTCAATTTACTTAAGACCAAAATTATACATAATAGGTCTTAATTGCAGCAAGATCAGAACAAGACAGTGAATATATCACAAACAGGTACGGGCACACGGGCAACATATATTTAACTTGCAGTTATATAAGTGAATGCACAAAACGCAGGTTTAAAATGCGACCAGAAATATTGAGAGAAAACTCCAAAGCCATTTCGCCTGCGTGTTTACCAACACGTCCTCCTGCATTCCCTCATTCACAAAAATAATCCCCCCATTCACACGAAGAGGGACACTCTTCTGCTCCGGTGCCTCAGACTCCCAGGCGCAGGACCCCGGGTACAGGGTTCTGGATTTTAACAAGAAATGCAGTCATTCATGCCCGCAGAAACGGCAATATTTACTCACCGGAGGCATACAAGGGCATTTCAGCCTAGACCTGCCGGTCTAAAGGGACACAGTTACATGACATAATAATAATAATAATAATAATAATAATAATAATAATAATAATAATAATAATTGTTGTTGTTATTTGTATTATTATTATTAGATTATTATTGTTATTATATGATTGGAAGGAATCACTTCAAAATGCTGCATGGTCTGCATCAACTCCGAATACAGACTGGATGCGCCTTTTAGTGCCTGTTAAAAGGGATTCTGAAACGTGTTCAATAGGACAGGGTTGGTCTGCGTGCTGTCATCGCCCGTCGATGCGCGCAATGAACTTAAAAGGACCGGCGAGAGTGAGCTAAGTGCTGGGCCGGAGCCCGCCGGAGGAGCGGCGCTGCCGCATCGCGTCCGATCGTTAGGCGGCCGTTAATTGGGACTGATGTGGCGTACAAAACGCACATGATGGGGAAGGGGAGGAAAAGGACGGGGGAAGATACGGGGATGCCAATTGCTTTGGGAAACCGGTGGTAAAAAAAAAAAAAAAGAAACTGTACCGATGACACGCTACAGCATCGCCGGTTTACACACTGGCTCATTTCTGTTCATAAACGCTATGATTATTTGCGCGACACCGTCGGTGAACTTACAGCTTTATAACTTCAATAGCAAAGTAACAAAACCGAAGTTGTCTTGCAACTATTTTGCTAATTAAAGCTTTGCATCCCCTTTCGCGGATGGTAAGCGGCACCAGAACTAACCGTTGGTGTAAAATGCCAAATGTGGTAAAGCGGGGCTCGGCGCAGATATAACGCGGAGATCCCGGCTGCCGATGCCACACGCGCTCGGATCGCTCGTTTATTATAACAAGATGATAAAGATACGGAAAAGTGTGCCAACTTATACGTGGAGCACGGGCAACGATACGGTAGGAGCGGAGGATTAAAGGTGCAGGTTTGGGAAGTTGATGGTGAGAGTGGCAGGTGTCAGCGGGTAGTTTGCGCTGCATCGCATTACCTGGCTGCTTATGTCTTGAGGGAGGTTCTTAATGAGGATTTTCCTCCTGTTGCTCAGCTCCCTACGAGTTTTTTCCAGCCTCCTCTCGATTTCATCCGGCTCCAAGTCCGGCAAGGCTCGCAGACTGGTCCCCTCGGAGGACGCTTCCTCGTCCTGGCGGCTCTCGGGGCTGTCCGAGTCCGGGAAGGGCGAGTTGTGCCGCTTCAGGGCGTGCGAGCCCGGCGGCCGGACGGAGGACGCTGCCGCCATTTTGCGCAGCTCTGCGGCGACTGAGCGCAGGCAGCGCCGGGTGGGCGTCCGAGCTGGGGGGGTGGGAAAAAAGGAGGGTGCGAGGTAGGCTGCGATGTGCGCTTGGCGACCCCTACCGGTCGGAAAGGGGCTGGAAAAGGCGAACGGGGAGAGGGAGGGACGGGGAGAAGGGATGCGAGGGTGGACCAGAGTAAGGACGAAGTGGCAGAGGGGGCACAGGATGGATGGGAAAGGATACATTATATTAACGCCATCTTCGTTTAGTGATGCCAACGCCTGTTTTTGTGCCCCATAATCAATCCAGAATGTACGTGATGCTCTAGACACGGGGGTGTCAGTCTTGCGTAAATAACAAATATCTAATTATAACCAAAGTGCAAAACTAGCCTTTGCCCTTCATCCATCCACGTATCGCATTACAGTGCGATGAAAAGACAAGTGACAGACCGGCACCAAATTAAGGGGCTACTCGGAATGAAACGCGAGATGCGAGGCGCAAGGTTTCGGGGAACGAGGCACTGAATGGCGGCCGCTTTCCGAGCCGCTCCGCCCGTCTCCCGTGGGTGTTCGGCAGGCTGAGCAGTAAATGTCTGCTTTGGCAGCTTCCCCGAGAGGCGTACACATACTCACAAGTAGCTACGACTCGGAATCCCTACACATTACAGCCCACCTAAGTAATATTTAGCATGCACTATGCTGGGGAGGGAATGCCTATTACCACCGTGTATCACTGAAGTGCATTACTGAAGTGTGACAAACAGTCCCACTGTTCAAAATATGGCTTTTAAGATCATAATACATTGCCGACAGACATTCGACAGCCGTGGCGGAAACATTTAGACTGATTTCAATACGATCATCCATCCAGATTTAGACATTTTAAGCTGTACATTCATGTCATTTGCAATTTAAATACAACAGAGTCATTACATCTTTAGAAGTGCAGAAGTGAATTTTGCAATTTAGTATTGCTCCCAGATAAATTCTGCATTGTTTCATAAAATCTGGACCGTTCGGTGACTGTCTTTACCATTTACTCATAATCTGACTGTACAGTATACAGTATACACAGTATAAATGTAACCCCTATTCAGTTAGGTCTATTTAAAATGTAATTAAACGAAGGTACAAGACAGGTGACCCGCCCCGGAGGACTGGAAGTAATAAAACCAAGTAGGCTAAACAATATGCTGGAAATAGAAGGAGAGCGAAAGGTTTATGCACGTAATAAAAGCAGTTTCAAAAAGAGCATGGTTAGAAATGAGCGCAAAAAATGGTTATTGCTAAACGGACGAGGGAGGGGGGGGGAAGACGGGCGCGTGGGTGTTGAAGAAGAGGAAAAATTCAATGCAGAGAAGCGGCGCGTGGGTGTCGGTGAGTGGCAGCGCAGGCTAATTGAACACCTGGGGGGGGGACGAGCGTGTTTATGTAAGGCGGCGCGAGCCTTGAACCCGCGCCTGCGAGCCGGGATAAGTGGCTGCGTGGGCGCAGGGAAGGGGGACCGTACGCGGGTGCCGGCGCCGCTACATCGGCGCGATTTATTCATGTATTCATTCATTTAGCAGCCTGGACGCTTCGCACCTCATATTTACACTTTTCCCCAGCATCGGAATCTAAATGTAAATACGCAGAGAGGCGAGTTTATGGGGGGGGAGAGCAGGCGGGAGGAGAATCCGAGGGCTGTGGGGAGACGCTCCCGCACACCTACAACCTGCAGAGCACGGAGTGGGCGCTGGATGCCCAGGCGAGCTTTGGCACAGCGATCCGAGCTCACATCTCCCCGACGGCCCTGCTTGGGAATAGCTGCCACACTTCTCACTAATAATTATTACAAGGTAATTAATAAAATCTATTTTATGTACTCTATCTATGTCTTACTTGCCAGGAGTTTTCAAATCCCCATAAACGGTCTACTCAAACTTAAAAAGAAAATCATAAAACTTTACATAGTGTAGAAAGCGAGAGAGGCCGCCTGCTGAACGCTCATTCATCGATTTTCCCCAGCGCCATGACGGTCTCCATCACGCCACCCTGCTTTAGTCCCAGTCCCAAAAAACTCGTCCAACTGAGCTGAACACTGACGTCTTCGTTTGCATTTCCGATTTTCTACACAGGCTATCTACCACGTCACTTTGTCATCAATATATGCTGAGAGAAATTAGCTAGCGCTTAGGACGTTATTCCAATATTTATCAAAATAAACGAAGGCTACTTTTAATAACGTAGCCTACTGGCGTCAGAAAAATCCCTCCCTATAATTAGAGCCAGAGTGGCGGTGTTCCGTTTTCATCATTTATAATTTATACATTTGTGTCCTTCGATAGCTCAGTTGGTAGAGCGGAGGACTGTAGAGGTTAAACGGCGATCCTTAGGCCGCTGGTTCGAATCCGGCTCGAAGGAAAATGAGCGTTTTTGGGGGCGGTGCATAGAAGGTCACCAGTTCAAATCGCGTTCTTACTATTTCACCATGATCCTTAAAGAAAGCCCTTAACCACCAATCGTTCTGGGGACTGACCAACCCTTCTTAAAACAAAAAATGTAATTTTAGATATAAGCATCTGATAAATGAATAAATGTAATTACACGGAGTTAATGAAGTATGTATATGACAACCTGGGACACTAATCCATCCATCCTCCAACCACTTGTCCAGAACATGGCTACAGAGAGCCTAGACAATATCCTAGGAAGAACAGTATAGAAGGCAGGGGACACCCAGCATGCATTACCGCATACACCCACACACAAACATATTCTACAGGCGATTTTGAGATGCCAGTTCTTTGGACTGTGGGAAGAGATCTATGCGTGGCAGGGAGACCATACAAGCTGAACACAGAGGGAAGTGGGTTAGGGTTCAACCCCCCCAATCCTGGAGGACCCAGAGCCAGCGAGCCACACCATCTTGCTAATGTGCAGAATAACATTAAAAAACATTTCTGCTACTAAATTAATTTTAAAAATACTCCCAGATCATTTTCATTTCCATATTTAAAAATGTGCGCCGTTTTACACTATTAATCAAAGGCACGAACCGGTCAAAAATTAAAAAAAAAAAAAAATTTTGTTAATTACAACTCCAGTAAAATATATTACATTAAAAACAAATCATTGCAGCTTAATGATGTTTACATGTATGTGGTTTGCGGTGCAGATGTTCTAGACCAGGGGTCTCCAACTCCGGTCCTAGAGAGCTACTATCCAGTAGGTTTTCTGTCCCTCTTGGCTTCTGATGAGCCACACCTGCTCCTGGTATTTACCTGAGAACAGGTGTAGCTCATCAGAAGCCGGGTATGATCGAAAACCTACTGGACGGTAGCTCTCCAGGACCAGAGTTGGAGACCCCTGTTCTAGACAAAAGGTAATTCTCTGATATACCAGCAACTTCTCAGGCTTTGTATCACACCAAGACTAAGTAACTGTTAAGTAACTGCGGAGTAATGCATGCCTTACTGTCTGTGCAGTAAGACATGCAGTCAGTCTCACTACTGCACATTAGTCAAACACCCTTGACTGACACAGGAGACACATTCGAAGACAAGATTTCTGTAAAAGTGGGACTTTTATGACATTCATTTTGAAACATCTTTTTTTTTTTTAAACAATATCATACATCGACATAAGGAAAAGGAATGACGTGAAACCAGGATTCTTTCGGTAACAATATAATTCTTAATGTCCAGTATACACAAGATTATGCTTGTTTACGTTGGCCAGTAAATACTTAATCGTCGCAAATTAAATCAAAAGAAGCTTATATCAGCTGTGTTTAACAGGAGGCCACAAATGTAAAACGTATCTTGTTTTAAGATGACAAAGTTCATTTACAAGGTAAAGAATACACAGATGTTTAATTAAGAGCATTTCACTGGATGTCATGTTACATTCCTGGCCGATATCTGCCACTTCAATATGGTCAATCCCAAAAATGAATGTTATTGAAACATTAGGATACATTTTCAGATGCTATGGAGTCAAACCTGACAAACTGTTTAACAATTATTCTGTCTCCACTGCTTTGACGTGAGACAGATAGAACACATCCTCCATTCCAATATGGACAATGAAACCAGAAGATTGTTTTGTCCAGAGCTATAACAAGGACAAAGATTTCTGTGTAAAAATAGCTTCAAAACTGAAGATTACTGATATCGTACGATGTATACACTTTACACACATTCGAGAATTTTGAATCAAAGATTCACACTGATAGCTATGTCATTTGTCTAAACATTTATACATACACACAATATCGGTCGGGATTGGAACACAAAACAATAATACACCTTTTAAGAGATTAGCAGTAATTGTCATTGATTCTGTTTATGCAACAAATGACGATTAGAAGCATTTTTTCCGATGGTCTGTTAAACATTAACAGTGCATTGTATAGACATTTGAAAGTGTGCCTTTTGCTCCTCAGTACTTAAAAAAATAAAATCGTGCAATATTACTGTCAGCTGATAGGTTTAAGAGGCCATATCCCTTATATGGACACAGAACCCATTTCTCTAACATGCATGAACACATACAGACACACACACACACACACACACACACGCACACAGCTAGACTTCATGTAAAATGTCCACAATTCACAGCAGCCAGAGTAATGGCCACAGAGGACAGAATTCTTATGAAAGGCAATTGAGTTTCCCATCTTGCTGCAGCTCCATAGCCTGCGTCTGTGTGTGTGGCCACAGGGAGGCGCCGCACCTCACATGACCCCAACCAAAGGAGATGGGATGTCTGGGGATCCCACGCCCTTCAGGGCATAAGCGACATCACGATGTACTTTGAGTGGCATGTAAGACCTTCAGATCTGCAATCGACAAGGCCAGGAATTGAAGCGTCTAATTTCTGCAGTCGTTCTGCCCACAAAACAGGTACCATTTTGGTACTGTCTGTCTACGGATATTCTTTCTATGCTTACCTCAAAAAAAAAATAGAAAACAATGTTCTTTATATGATGAAATGGCTCACAGATGTGTTGAATATCCAGCCAGTGTGTCCGTATAGGTGTACAGCCTTCTGAACTCACTTTTAAAGTCAATTCAGTCTTAACTGTCCATATGATTCAAGTCCTCTTCAATAAATAGTAGAAAAATATCTCTCTAATATTCTTTCTTAGAAATCTCAAATGCATTGTTATAGTGTTTATTGAGTCTCCTCCCCTGCGCCCCAGACCTCTCAGCTTCTCCCTCTGTGTCCGTCCTCTAAAGGTCGATTGATTCCATCTCAGAAGTCGCCCCCTAGTGGGCTTAAATGGCAGGCCTCTGCTTCGTTCCCAGGGCCGGTCAGCACTCAGCATCCACGCTGTGCACGGTCACAGCGGCCTGTAGGTGGCGCGCGTGGTGCATCGGCCGGTGGTGCATGTGCCGGTAAGGCTGGAACTTGTGACTCAGCAGCGCCGCCGTCTGCGGGGGCGTGTCCAGTTCCAGGTCATCGTCATGGTTACCCACATCCACGCCTGCTGTCAGGGGGTCGTTGTTGCCGGGCGGGTTCTCGCTGTCCTCCTGTGGGCTCATGGTGCTGTACCCTGTGCAAACACATGCACGACAACATGCTAGAAACACAGAGAATCATGACAATTACACACCCAATGCCCTCTTCATCAGACACACCTAGCTAGTACAAGTAAGGACCCACTTTTCTCCGCCAGAACCATTTCAAGAGTAGATAAGCTGTGTGCTCAGAGTAGCCATTATGCACGCCTCTGTTACACCAGGCTGGTATTTTTACCGTTAGCCTTAACGAGCCCGGCAGTTCTCCTCTGACCTCTCATTAACAAGGTGTTTTCACCCATAGAACTGCCGCCAACTGGAAGCTCCTTGTTTATCGCGTCGTTTTGTGTAAACTCTAGACACTGGAGTGTGTGAAAATCCCTGGAAGGTGGCCATTTCTGAGACACTGGAACCATCAGGTCTGGTACCAGCAGTCAAACCACACTTTTAAAAAAAAAAAAATTAAATCACGTAGATCGCACAGCTTAGCTGTTTTAATGTTCAGCCGCACGGAAACTGAACGGTACGTGTTCAGTTTCGTTCGGAGGATGAGGTTGAGCAATTTAACAGGCAGGTGAAGTTAAGCCGGCCGCTAATGGCATAATCCATTAACACACGCCATGCTACATTTCCCAAGTCCATTAATTAGTCTGACTGCCCGCTACATTTTCTTCAAAGCAAATACGACTAAGCATTAGTGAAAAAACAAAAAAGAAATGCTTTTTCCCTTCGGGGACGGCAAGCAGACCTCGACTCTCTGGGAGCGGGAATGTGGGACTTTAGCAGTAATATGACTGTTCTGTTGGTCATGAGATTTGAACCCACAACCTTCACAAACAGACACAGACACAAATCCCTAATCTATTGAGCTGCACATGAAAGCTGGAGATGCAACCTCCCCATTGTTCTGTTTGATCACGGAAAGGTGACGGAAATGCTGAGGCTAAATCAAAACGAATAGAACAAACAAGCATCTCCGTCTCAGTCTCATGTCCCGTGGTGCTGCAATGTTGCAGCGCATTTGTGGCTGTGGCCGTAGCATCAAGCACGGAATGCAGCCCAACCAGAAGCCCCCCCCTCACAGAAGCCGGCCCCCCGAATTCCCAAAGCCGTGTTGGTGGAGGTCAGGGGGGACTCGGGCAGCTTCTCCACCACGCATGGGCTCCATCGATTCCGCGACGGTGACCCCCGTCGGCGTGAGGAGCGCGGGCCACAGAAGGTCACCTCCGACAGCAAACTTTTCTCCGCTCGGCGGAGTTCGGGTTCCGCTCTCTCAAACAGGCAGCGCGCGCTTCTGAAACATCACTCCCACGGGCTGGGATTGGGGTGGAGTGTCCTCCGGCGCTGAGAGGGGGGTGAGGGCAGCAATGCTAGCACCGGATCCGGCACGGTGGCGGGCACCGGCAGATGAAAGCGTGAACCCTCCCCCACAAAAGGTTGTTTCCCCGCTCGCTCTGTGCTCGGCTCAGCAGCACAAACCTTCACGGAAACAGCCGTTGGCGGTGCACAGCCGGTGACTAACAGCCGGCCGTGCAAGCGAAGTGGGTGGGCGGACTTGAGAGGAACAAATGAAGGGATATCATACAAAAATGAAAGGCAAAAAAGAAAAGAGAATCCATCATGCTCCCCCAACGCCTGCGCGCACACACACACACACAAATCTCAGCGACACAGTGAACATAGGCGCCCCCTGGTGGTTGCCCTTACCGTGGTCGCTCTCCGTGCCGGACCTCCCCCAGTAGCGCTGCCTCCGCTCAGGGCTGTACGTGTGCCGCTCGATCACCGCGGCGATGAATCGTGTGTTGCTAACTGCCCAGGGTCACAAGAGGCATTGTTAGTTCCGGAAGCCGGAGACCTTCGCTAGACCGGCGGTGTCGGTCTGGGTTTTCCGAGGAATACCGTGGCGTCGTTCCGCCCCCTTCGACTTTCCATTCAAATCCATTCTGCTGCTGTGCAATTTTGTAAACACACACCGACATCACAAATACACAAATACACATCACATTTTGCACTAGTGACAATCACTAAAAGTCGGAGGTAAAGATTAAACAATTTCTCTATGAGGCGTGAACACTGAACCATTTTGCCCTGAAAAAAAAACAACCCAAGACCCACTGAAAATCAAAGTCAGAATGTGACATTAGCATTCACACCTTCGCCATTCATTCATTCATTATGAGATGCTAAATGCTGAAATGCTGAACTGGTATCTTGAGTCATTTAAAGGCCTTCTCTTCTCTCCCCTACTTCAGTTCCCCCAATCCCAAAATCAAGAGCAGGACACTCAACGCATCAAGCCAACTTACTTATTCCCCGATCTTCATGACTGTCCTCGTCTCGGTCATCACGATCATTGTCTAGGTTGGACATCCGAACCGACATCTCTGCAGGGAGAGAAGACCTTTGGCTTAGGCAGACCAAGGACACTTTATTTTGCATTAAATAAGCAGAAAAATAGGAAGTGAATGTTATTATGTATCTAAGGTATCACACAACAAACGTACTGAAAATCAGAGCCCAGGGAATGTTCGACAGGCAACAGACTGACGACGTCAGTTCCATAAATTTTCACAGCCGACCGCTTGACAGCAGTTTGATCACTATTATGAAACGCGGAGTGAGTCTTAAGTAGAAAAAAAAGCTACGATTAAGCGACCGATTCGCTTCGTTATGAGTCTCCATGTCTGGAGGGGTTTGCTGACTGCGCTGCTGAATGACCTTGCAGGAGGTCCTGGCTGATGAATGCAGGTCTGACCTGGGTGGAAGTGATTCTCCAGCCACAGAGCCCCACCCCCCCGCCGGCACTCACCCTGGGCAGCCAGGGGCGACATGTGCTGGTGACTGCGCCGGTGGATCTGGTGACGGTAGGCGTAGACGGCCAGAACCAGAACCATGATGCAGCCCATGATACCGCCTGCCACCGGCCCCACGGGGGCGCTCTTTATCATGCTGAGGGATGCCACCTCATCCTCTGTGGAAAGACCCGCTGTTCAAACCCAGGCCTTCAGAACAGCATCTTGTTTACCAGTGATCTTCAGTCATTCTGAAGTCCAGACAGCAATCTTGTCAGCATTTAGTACATTTACACTTATTTACCGGACACTTCTCCAAAAGCATGAGGTCAGCCAACATACAGGGTCAAGGGCTTTGCTGAAGGACACCACAGTAATATGACTGCTCTACCGGCCGTGGGATTTGAACCCACAACCTTTACAAAAAGACACAGCTATTGAGCTGCACAGAACCTGCATCCAGCCATATGTCACCAGTCCTCCATAATTATGTACTAATCTGTGTTTTGTCTAGTCCAATCACTGATCGTCCAGTCATTTTCAAGACCAGCTCACCCAATCAGCTTCCTTTGGGTACAAAGCCTATTCAGACAATCATGGGTTAAAGCCACCCTCAGCACCGGTCCAGCGCAATTAAAATGCCGAACTGCTTCACACTCTCACTCTCTTGTGTGTTTCACTGTGGAAAAACATGGGATTTAATGGCAGTACTAATGGAGCAGGAAACTGCTCTACGCCCACTAGTGCCACCCCGCCCACTACGAGTCACCAATCAGAGTCATTTTTGCTCTAAAAGCCATGCCCAAAACACATTAGAGAACGGCACCCCCTGCTGGAGATCTCCACATACCTATGTGCCCCATGCTATCCACGTAGGGGCTCTTGGCTCCCACAATACCCCCGAAACACTCCTTCTGCAGGGCACAGTAGGGCTTGTCCAGGTGGGTCTTCCCATCGCTGTCCATGGTGCACCACTCACAGTCCAACACCCCGAAGCAGTCGCTGCGGAAACGGCGACACCTCGTTATGGCGCCAGCATGCCGGGGCCTGGGGCTCCGACACCCCGAAGACAACTTTCATTCAACAGTCTTCTCTCATATTTCGCTAATGCAGACGCTTCTCATGACGGCGTGAACAAGGAACCGATTTACGTAACGTGATTCTGGAGCTGTGCTGCTCTTTGGCTGGGCCCTAAGAGGGGCCATAATTCATGCAGAGGGGCTGACCTTATCGCTAGCCAATGAAATGTTTGGAATGGGTGAGTGACAGTCAGCTCGGGGCCAGTGTCCCTGTGACCCCGCCCCTCTGTCGTTCCCTGACATGACTGAATCAAAGAAAGGTCACCGTGGAGATCTGTGGCCGCACAGCTCACGTCTTCTAGTGTCAGGTCTGGAACGCCGTCGTCCGAGATGAGAGCTTAGTGGCCTTTGACCCCAGGCAAACCCCCCCCGCCGCAGACGGACCTAACCTGCTGGTGTAGCGCTGGCTGCAGCGGGTGTTGATGCACTGGGGCAGCGTATCCTGCAGACTGGGCTCCGTGGTGGTGAATGACAGGGGTTCCTGGTGCACCTCACAGCTGGGGTTCCTGAGCAGGAAACAGCCGTAACGACGGTCCGAAAACGGCGAGAGCGTGGGAGGCTGGAAGAACGCCCCACACGCAGCACACGTCTAATCCTATACAATTATTAACTTTATAAGAAAAGCTAGTGCATTATGGGGGGATCAGAATGAACTGCCAATTAAGAGCTCAGGAGGGGGGGGGGAACTGAATGTCTGATTATCATGACAAACTGGGCTTGATAAAGCCACATGTGGTTGGGGGATGACTAACTGCGCTAATTATTCGATCTGCACAGCTTAAAAAGCGTCCGCCCACACCGCCTGACGGACTCAGGTTTTCAGCTTGATGTGACTGGCCCCTCCTGACTGGAGGGGGAGGGAGCAGCGCGGGCTCACCTGTTCTCGGTGTTGGTGAGGTTGCCGGTGCACTCGTTCACCTCCAGGGGGCACTCACACGGGCACTCGCACTCATTCTGCTCCATCCTGTGGGGGAAACAACGTGGGGTTTTTTCGCATATTGAATGTGATCTGGATAGATAATACAATGGTTCCAAAGGTAGCACTTCAGCTTAACAGCGGTCAGGGCTACTTCTCCTGCAGTTTGAGCTCCCCCCTTAACCAGCTACTCTGGTTAACATTCCACATTTTTATTTACCTTTTCTCCCTAGCGATATATACTTTTTGGGAAGCAGAGACAGTCCCTAAGGGCCTTTTCGGGAATCCAATGACAAACCCACTCCATTGACCTTGGGATTCGAACCGACGACCTTCTGATCTTAGACACGGCGTCGGAATCCGCTGACACCCTGCACCTTCCTCCCACACTCCAAATTAAAAGCCTGGGTGTCTCTCAGTTTCCCCATAGTGTGTGATCTTGTATGAATGCGTCCCCTGTGACGGACTGATATGACAGCCTTGATTTTCCCCGGCCAAGCACCCAGCCCATACTGGTATTAAGCTACACTGGAATAGGGACAAGTAATGTTGGGCAATAACAGGGAATTAAAAAAAAAAGGAAGAAGCTGACAAAAGGACACAAAACGTATGTGGCCCTGCATACTATACCACATACTATACCACATACTATACCACATACTGTACCACATACTGTACCACACACACCGTGACCCAAACGGACCTGTGACAGTTGAGACAGAGCCGGTCCACGGTGCTGCAGGCGCAAAAGGCCAGCGAGTCGCACGTCTCGTTCAGGATGCCGGCGAAGGCGTTGGTGCCGGGGATTCGGGTCAGCCGGTACTTGGAGCAATGGCTGCCGTGGACTAGGTTAGTCAGGTCACCCTGGGGGGGGCAGGGGGGGGGGGGGGGAGCAGAAGAGACCTGGTTTCATACGACCGTGATGCCAAATAAGGCGGAACAGAATAAAAACAAAAAGATATTGATAACGACAAACTGACCTGTATATGCTCAACAAACTGCTGCTTTCTGTCAACCAAGACTATGGCAGGTAATGTAAAAAAAATTCAAAGTTTCACCCAAGAGTGAAGTTCTACAAAAACGCCACATGGTGGCGCTATAACACAGCTAAGCATTTGAAAAGTCCGCCGATCAGACAGCAAGCATCGCAAACAGCGAGCATTCAAAGAGTGACTGGCTACTATTATGCTGCTTGCTGTTTACACTCACCACAATGCTGGTGTTGAACTTGTAAAATCTCTGCACAGTGCGGTCACTGAAACTGTTGCACAAATTCTTCTTCACGAAATTGGGGTGGTTGAGGATGTCATTGGCAACAAGCGGCTCCTGCAATCATAAGGGGGACAAATGACAGACTAGACAACCAGTGGAAAAACACATGGTATTGAGATAACCAATCAGAAATGAGGAAGTGGTTATGGTCAGGACAAAGGGACATTAACCCAACAATAGTTACTGTAGGCCCTACCTTGTGTGTGATGTGTTGCTGTTCAGCCGGGGCATGACCTTTGGGGTCAATCAGAGTGGGATGAGCAACAAGGTAGCCTCTATCCTCCATGATGAAGCAGCTGGAACACAAAACACAGGAACGACACACAGACGGCGTTAAAGTGTTTGTGTGACACAGACAACATACATAACTGCCTGTAAAACATCACTAAACGCTTTAAAAATGATATTTGATTCCATTTATTTAACAGACACTTTTATTCAGAGTCATTCATATTTTGTGAGGGAGCAGTGCCAGGCAGGACTTTAGCGTTTAGCGTTAAGGGCCTTGTTCAAGGGCCCAACAATGATGTCTGCAGACTTTGGGATTTGAACTGGTGACCTTCTGATGATATATCGATCACAACAGCTGAACCGGCGCTGAAGAACTTAGAACATATTTAGTGTATATTTAAAGCTAATTAGACAGTTATGATAAATACTGGAAAACAACAAGGCAGAGAGCTCAGCTCTGCCCAGTGAGAGAGGCAGGCCTGGTCATCCGCTTTTCCCGGCCTGCACTCCCATCAGCTCTGCCCGGTGAGAGAGGCAGGCCTGGTCATCCGCTTTTCCCGGCCTGCACTCCCATCAGCTCTGCCCGGTGAGAGAGGCAGGCCTGGTCATCCGCTTTTCCCGGCCTGCACTCCCATCAGCTCTGCTGCCACAAACTCCAGAGGAGGTAAGCTGGTATAAATATCCCCCCATTCAGCGCCCCGCTTGGACGCTCTCCAGAGACCAGCCCCGCGGCACCACCTTCTAAGAGGATGCCTCTGGAATTCCATCATAATCAGCTTATCTCCCTTTGTTTACGTCTTTCTGCACGGAGAAGGTCGGTGTTTATTTCTGCCGTGTCATTCTTTGGGGCTCCCTCTGTGGCGGAGAGCTTTTGGAGGACACGGGGGGGGCGTAAGAATGCACCATTCAAGAGGGGGCAAATCAGATTAGTTACATTTAAAGGGCCTTTAATGGCCTTGACGGGGGCGCGATTCAGTAACCCTTTCAGGCGCGACCGTGGCAGCAGGGAAAGCCCGTCTGCTTTTTACCGAATTTTGTTGCCCTTGTCCTGGTTGCAGACGGGGAGCAGGTCCAGCAGAACCTTGTAGAAGTAGCGCAGAGTGAAGTCGATTCCCATAACAGCCACCACACTGCCGGGGACCATCTGAGAGCTAGGGGGGTTGGGGTGGGGGTGGGACAGGAGGAGAGATGGATGCAGAGAGTTAACGACACACGGATCCTTCAGGCTCAAACACCACAGGCTCATGGGGAGGGGGGGGGGGTTCCTGGTGGTCCTAGCCAGCCAGGCTGGGGCCCATTTCTCATACCGTGGGAGCAGCCATTGTGCCGTGCATTTCAAAGTGCACCAAAGCAGCAAATCTCCCCCCCCACCAGGGTGCCAGCCGAGCCGTGCTGAACCGAGCGGGATGGTCTGTTTCCCCCTCCCCCCCAACCCACCCCCAAAACCCCGAGAGCTCGGCGCACCCTTTCAGAGGAGGGTCACCGTCATGCTGCGAACGCCACAGGTTGGCGAGACGGTGCAAATCGTGAGCGGGACACAACAGCCATGCGGCTTCAAGGTGAAAATCCAGGGGGGGCTGGGGGGGGGGCAATCAGCAGAATGTGCTGATGAAATGTACCTCGAATGTTCCCAAGTCATCATTAACAAAGCACCTTATTAATACAATATTCATAACACCTATCAAATATTAATCAAAAGGAGAAAAGGATGTGATCTCAATACTTAAACAGGAAGGTAGGGGACAGACCCCCCCCCCCCACTAACGGTAGGAAACAGGTGGCATGTCTAAAGCGAAAAAGGGTTATTCTGCAGGCCTCAGCATCAAAGGGAGGCTGAGTCTGTCAGCGAGAGCTCCCCAGCACTGACGGGATACCTGGAGGCATGAATGGTGTGGCTGATTGTGACCACGTATCCAGCCCCGCCCACATCCAGATAAGGGCCCGTGAAGGTGATAAGGCCCGGATTGGCCACAGCATGAAGGTACCTGAGGAGAACAAGCCACAACGTCAAACAGTGGCCATCAGAGCCGATAGCTGGTTTATGGTTCTGGTCTCAAACTCCCAGGAACCCTGAAAGAACTGAAGCAGCAATGTTCTGTATGCAACTTCCACGTTATGACTAATTCACTGAATTTTAATTTCAAAACTTCCACAGGAGCAGGTATTTCTCTTTGAAACAGAAAGTCTGTAACTTGGCAGCCTGCTATTAAATCCACTATAAAAAGACCCGACTAGACTGAGGAACATGGATGATGAGTTTGTTCCCTACTGCACACAAGGAATCTGGAATTATTTCACAGAGTACCCCTCTACCCAAAAAAAAAAAACTCACCATTGTCTTCTGGTTGGGTCGAAAGCTTTGTCCATGAGGGAGCCGGGGAAAATCCGCAGCACCCCATTGGGCGTTGCTATGTAACGGCGCACAATGTAACAGTTCAGGCTACTCATTTCCATTTGTGTCATCCATTCATCGGTTATGTGACTGGTAGCCATTACTTCGTTCCTGACAGACGACTGGAAGACAATGAGAGCACATAGCAGGGTTCCCTTTAGGGCCAGACTGAGAAGATCTTAAGCCGAAGGCCCGCTTTTCTTAAAGAGCTGGCCAAGAACGAGGTAAACTGCCAAAAACCACCTTGAACACAGTTGGCTTTAAGAGTGAGTTTTGCCAGAGTGAGGGCTGGCTCCCCGGTACTGTAAACAGATAAGCCAAGCCCCTAACTAACCCGAGGGAATGGCATGGTTAGCAGGCTGACCTTGAGGCCGGGGTTGGCGATGAGGCGCGTGTTGTCGCTCAGGTAGGCGGTGTAGTGCTCCACCATGCGCTTAGTCTCCGGCTGGCTCAGGTGCTCGTAGGGGGAGGAGAAGCTCCCGGCAGACAGCATGACAGTCGGGCTCTCTGTAGAAAAAGAGGGAAGGGGGGCAGCAATCAGTGATCACAAGATGCTAACGAAATAAAATGCTAACCAGCTCAAGAAGTGGTTCCTGTTGCCGCACCTCTTCGCCTCGTTAAATTGCCCAGACACCAGAAACAGTGCTAGTCTGGGGGAAATGTGTCTTCGAGAGCATGTGTGGCATAAACAAGGGTTCCAAATGGATCGTCTACAGCAGACGCCATCAGACGCCCCTAAACCTCTAGGGGGCAGTGAAGGTACCATGTTGACCCGAATATAAGACAGGGTTGTATTTCCTCAAAATATGCCCGAAAAACTGCTGTCGTCTTATATTTGGCGTCTAGACAAAAAAATGGAGATGTCGCCAAATACGATATTTTATAATGAGTGCTCTGACTTACTGTAATAATGATTTACCACCATTTATTTAGGAGATGCTGAAGCAGCATGCACTGCTAACTAGCTAGCTAGCTATGATCTTCTGATGGTAGCTGACGTTACTGTGAACATTACAAGTAACCACCGGGGTTGGGGCGTGGGGGCTGGGGGGGGTCCCAAAGCAACTTTTTGAGTGGGGCCCCAGAAAAAACAAACCCTTCCCAGTTTCTCAGGGAATGGTTTCTGTGAAACCTCGAGGAGTTCAGAGCAGGACTAGTGACTACCACGGGCCCGCAAGGTTCTGCTCTGGAGCATACCGACTGTGGCGAGCTGCTTGAAGTGCAGGCAGGAGCCGGGCTGGCCTAGGAGGTCCAGGCGGTGGTAGAGAAGCTTGCTGCTGGGCACCGTGTTGAGGTTCTTCAGGTTCTTCACGGGGATCTCTGGCTGAATGTAGACGATGCACAGGATGAATGCCGTGTCCTGGACCTGGAGGGTCAAAGAGATTCGAGAGAGATAAAGGACAGTTTGGGAGTTTCCTGACCTGCCAGAGAGAAAAACCAAACAAGGCTGACTTCCCTAAAGTCTGGAATTCCCGTTTATTCACAAAGTTTCCATTGATAAGTATGATTTCATGCACTAGTCATCAAACAGATTAGAGCTTTAAGCATATTTACAGAACAATTAGGGTTGTAAAACAGCCAGTGGCAGTACCAGCTTCCAGGCATAGCTGACATTGTAGGAACCCTTGCTGGTGTCCCGCAGACGGTTCATGTGCCAGGAGAGGGACGAGTTCATCGGGACGGTGATGACCTGGCTGCCCAGGGGGAGGCTGGGAGGACGAAAGAGAATCACTGCAAACTTGAGAACCTCCCATGCAGACCACCAACAAGGCAGATTTCATTTTTTTTAAACATCTTAATTTACTTAGCAGACACTTAACCAAATAGACATACAATATTTTTTGAGAGAAAGCAGAGTCACAAATTCCCAGGAGCAACTGGGGGGCTTAGGGGTCTTGGGCTGAGGGGCGCCAACTGGCATTTGAACCAGCGACCTTCCAATCATGGGCACAGCATCGTATCCCACCAAGTCGGGCACCGTCTGTCCAGTCTGTCCATCCCAGGGAGGCCCACGCGGGGGCTCTGGAGAACCCACCTCAGAATGTTCTGCTGGACCTCCTGGAAGCCTGGGATGTTCTCGTAGTGGATGATGTCCGTGTGCAGGGGGGGTTCGGCCATGAGGTAAGGCCTGGTGAGAGACGGGTGCATGAGGGTGTAGCCTAAGAAAAAGGGAGGGAAAGAGAACAACCCAAAAATTATTATCTTAAACACCTTGGTTTATTATTCCTGCACTAATGAAGGATTTGCGTTTACTCAACTTAGTAAAACAATTAGCCTGACAGATTCAGGTCAACCATATTGTGGGGTGGAGGGTGGGGGGTGGATGGTGGACAGACTAAACTGCAGTGCCTATGAGTCTCAGACAGGCAGCAGGATCTGGACCTTCAGGTCTGGTGAGAACCTCTGAGGCAGCCTATGTTTCAGAGACTGCAGCAGCCATTCGACCAGATTCACCGCATCCCGTTCTGCTTCTCCACAACACTCCATTTACGATAAAAGTACACTTCTCCAGTCAAACATTTCAGTCACACTAGTCTTAATCTACACCCCTAAGTAAAACTCCCTAACCCTTCTGAGGGTATACCACCCCCCCTTCCAATATTTCAGCGTCACCAAAAATGACGGCATGTGGGTCAGAGCAGGCTTAAGGGAAAGTGAGACGGAAACGGGCCGTAAGAAAACGCCGTGGGAAACGAGGAAGCTGCTTGATTCAGCTGCGGTGATGTCACCAGCGAGGACCTGAGGGTTAGCATTTTGGACTTAGCTTTTCCCTTCAGTACAGGCGAACTTGACACCCGGCCCCCTCATTCTCTAATAAGTTCAGCCATGAAGAGTATCTCCTCTCAGTTCAGAGCTCAGAGCTTGCCGGTTGACGACGAGGACACGGGGTACAACGGGAGTGCTGTCTCAGGTGGAACCTACCTTTCTGATCTATGAGAAAAGTGTAGGATGCCAGAGAATCCTGGTAGTAAGTGACATCTTCCAGGATGTAGGCCAGGTTGACATCGACACCCACGACGCCTAGCAACAGGTTGCCAAAGTAACACGGCCGGCTGACAGTCATAATGAAACCTGGACAGGGAAGGGCGAGATGTCCAAGTTTCAGTGTCACGCCGGCATGCTCTCACACACACAGGAGGACATATTTCAAGTTACAGCTACTCAAGTACGGTCCTGGAGGGACAAGCCCAGAATGGTTCTGTTCCACTCGGCCACTGAATCACCTAATTAAACCAATAAATCTATTCATTAAATAAATTCAGCTCCCCTTCCAAGCTGGAGCACATCCTAGATATCGTTAGCATGAGTAACGTTAGTTCAGATTCATTAGCTTGACTAATAGCTTTGCAATAATAAAATTACTATTTAAAAAATCCATAATAAAGGTAATTGTTTCCATCTGAAAGGAAAGTGCAGCTTTATTCCAGGACTGTAGACCAAATGACAGTGCAGAGGTACCAGATACTTACTGTCCCCCATGGGGTCTGCGTAGGGCAGGCTGAAGCTGGCCTTGTCGATCATACGATTGGGCAGGTTTATGTAGAAGCGGCCCACTGTCGTCTCCAGGTTACTCAGCTGGTTCAGAACCATCATGCTCCCCTTGACCACCGGCAGGGCGGAACGGTCCGGAACCCCGTACTTGACCGAGTTCTGTTCTGCCAGATCCCTTAGGAAGGCCAGCTCCTTCAGCCCAGTAACACCCTCTGCAGGGGACAAGCAACCACTCATTCCACAGAGCGCAGCCTCTCAGCTCTCTAACAGGCCTCTGCCAGATTTATTTTATATTCATGCTCCTGTGCATCATGATATTGTTACATTCAGCTGGGGAAAAAAAGGCTTCTAACACTAAGACGAGACTTTTCTAGAATAAAGCGGCCTTTCCACAAACTACAAGGACTCCAACGTCAGAAAAACGAAGACGAGCAATGAAATGCTAATTAGTGCTAAAAGTCGCTCCTTCGGCATTTACACAGGAAGGCAGGCCTTGTGGTTTGGCTGAGCTCCGACACATTTCATTTTCGCTAGCTCCTAACCACATCCCCATTAGCCTATAAAATCGTCAGAAATAACAGGTGGCAAAAAAAAGTGAATGTCCTGATTTTGGATTCTGAAAGCAAAGGGCCTTTTACGAACGGTGCTGGAAGGGTTAACACTTAAAGGGACGGTGGGCCGGGCAGACAAATGAATAGACGGGTAAACATTTTGCAGAAAATCCCTGTAAAGGAGCTCCTTTTGTGAGACTGAGCTCGCCCTCTCAGCGGGTTCTTGTAAATAACACTGTATACCGGGGCTGCAACAAAAGCAGTGAGCACACCGGGAGGTGGGGGTGAGCTGGGGGGTGGGGGGGGTGTGTGTGTGTGTGTGTGTGGATCTTCACTCAGCCCCATGTGCACCCAACGGATCATACGCACAGCTGGGCCTGGGACCGTGCCAACCAGCGAGAGATCCAGAGGAAGGCCAGCCAGACTGTCAGCATATTCCAGAATGATGATGAGCAGTCAGACACAAGCCGAGTGCTCCCCCCCGCCCCGTGCAAATACCACTCATACCGAAGTCTGAGGATTTTGGGGTTTACACGAGATGCTGAAACGTTACGGACCCTGCCGTGCCCCTATGCCAGTGTTCATACGGGCACCATGGACATCCTAATGCTTACTGTTAAGGGATGCAGCCCAGTCCTCAGGGGAGCCCAGACAATCCACATTTTTGCTCCCTCCCAGTTACCGACACACCTGAACCAAACAATCAGGAACACCTAGCACTTTGTACAGTTGTGTTGTTAGCTGGGGAGGATAAAAAATGTGGACTATCTGGGGGCCTCAGAGGACTGGGGCAACGTCAGTGAATGTATAGAATGAAAGGATAGATTATATCTTGGGTCACGTTATGTAATTATCAGACTTAGTTCTGTGTTAGAATGAGGCACATACATATTACATATCATTCACATATTCTTCCATCCATCCATCCATCCTTTTATTCTGGGTGGGGTTGTGGGGGTATCGCATATTAAATCATATTACAGCAAAAAAAATTAAATAAAAAACTAAACAGAACTGCACAGAAAACATTCCTGTCAGCCCTACATTGGAAGGAACAGCAGGTCCAGTCAAGCCTGCGGGAATCTCACACTGCGGGAATCTCACACTGCCTTACAGTTCCAGAAAGCTCCAACTTGATAATGATGCTCCATGTGACATAGTAGCTCTACCAAAATAAGCACTGGTCTTAATCAGCACCGTATAACCATAACCAGTGAACATGGGCACAGTGGAACATGCCAGAAGAAGCTATTTTCCCTTGTTGTGAGAGAACCTCACCGTTCATGAGAGCATAGGTGAGGATCATGACGGAGTTGTTGAGGTACTGGTTCTCTTCCTTCACCATGCCGAGGGTGGCCCTCTTCTCGGTCTCGGAGGAGTCCTTGGACGTCATGCCCGAGGACAGGTAGATGACCACCATATCTGTGTCTGTGGGGAGCCAGGACAGCCAGTCAGTGCACAGGGGCATCTCCTGTATGCGGGTGCAGCTATCAATTACCAGCAATTCACCCAGAATTCCTCCACAGTTTTGCATCTCTTTAGTCATGCTTCTCTTTATAAATGAAATTTCTGCATTGCTTGCTCCTGTGGTACTTGTAATGGATTTTGCTTCAGTTATACATGAATGTATTTTACCGTAAATGCATGTGACCATGGAATAAGAATAATAAAATTAAGTAAAACTATGCTTAACCTTAACTAATTTGAGTAACATTACATAAGAGAAACTGCTTCAGTTCAGTGTTATTGTTCTTTCATTTTTTGGATTTTTAGCAGGTACTAAATTATGGAAAACTGTCCTTCAAAGTGGAAACTAACCAGCATTTTTAAATTAATCCTTTCAATTTGCAATCAAAACATTCATATTCACATATATGATTAATTGTACATAGGATAAGAAACCTGTTGTATTGTAGACAGCAGTTAACAACTTCTACCTTACTACCTATTATGCTGAAATAATTGATGATTCATAAAATTTGTCAAAGACGCAATAAAAATCACGAAAACTAAAAAAAAAAAAAGTGAGATAAATAATAATAAGAGAAATGTCACCCTCACTGGTCTGCTGCCGGGTGACATTGTTAGTGTTCCTCAGAAGGTGGAAGGCCTTCTGAAAACCCAGTGCATGCTGGGTAGGGCTATCCGAGGCCTTGATGCTACTGATGAAGGAGGCCATCTTCCTCTTGGTCTCACTGGTGGCGGGGGACAAGAAGCTCTTATAGCACTGGTCCAGGGAGCAAGAGCGGACCATGTCAGCCACCGTCAGCACAGAGATCTGAGGAAAATGGCAGATAGGTGAAGGGGTACGGTGTACACAAGTGAGGGGAGAACACTCTGAAATCAAGGTGCATTGTGGGAAATAATGCTTACTTCAAATATACTCATTGTGGATTGTGGGAAATATTGATTACGTCATATAGTACCAGTCTGGACACACCTGCTTTTAATATATCTGGCTCTATTTTAGCTGTTATTCACCTTAGAGTAAAAGGCCTCAGGGTATTGTTGAACACTTATTTTAGTCATCGCATCTCAAAATTTTCTCATATTTTGGACTCTCCAAAACAGCCCCCTTTTGCTTTGATGACAGCATTGCAGACTCTTGGCGTTCCTTCAACCAGCTTCCAGATGTAGACACCTGGAACGCTTCTCCAACAGTCCTGAAGGAGTTTCCACAAGTTTTAGGCACAACTTGGCCACCTTGCTCTCACTCTTTGATCAAACTCATCCCAAATGAGCTCTGAAGGGTTTAGGTCAGGGGATTATGGGGGTCAGGTCATCTGTCACAACACTCTCTCTTTTTCCTTGTTCAAAAGATAATACAGTACTTACGTAACTGCAAGGTGTGTTTAGGGTCGTTATGTTGAAAAAGAAATTATTTTCAGTAGGTGTGTCCAGAAATTTGACTGGTACTGTATCTACTCAATATTAAAAGTGGATAAAGTTTGTAACTAACTGTATCATCATATATTGCTTGCATTAAATAAAACAAAAAGCGATTATAATAAGGAAAGCATGTTTCTCTCACCCTGTCGTGCTCATCGATGGAATTAAGGATGATGAGGGCAGAGTCTCTGGCGATCTGGAGCTGGGTTTCAGTCAGGGATGCTCCGTGGTCGATCAGCACCACCACGTGCTTGGGCTGAGGTCGCACTGCTGACACGTACACCGGCCTGCAGGACACCAAGGTAAACGTGACCTGTGACCCCGGGGTGAGCCTTCAAACGGGCCAGGCTGTTGAGGCACCGTGCGCCATCAGTTCATCTTATCTTCTTCAGCCAGTAACCTGATCTTTCCTCATATCCAGGGCTTCCTTGATGGGCTGGCACTTCTCTGTACTCTGAACTCCCTTCTGCTGAGTGAGGGGGGTGGGGTGCGGGGGGGTTCTTGACTAAGTTTACTTTACCTTCATCTGCCCTCTCGGCGCTGTTGATCTTGGGCTGTGCACGCTCCCACCACCCCACCCCCCACGGTTCCCACGGCGATGGTACTGGTCTACATTCACTGACCGAGAGAATGTCGGTGGCCGGTGGAGGCATCACATTCGGCACCGGTTTGCCCGTGCCGCTCAAATCACCCCCAGGCAAATTCCCATTGGTGCCATGCTAATTCGCAGTTGTGCAAACTTGGCCCCTCAAGAACACGCAAGCGAAGCTTCGCCAGACGAGCACTAAGGCAGCTGTCGGCTGCGGTCGGATTTTCTATTCAGTATCGGGTCTTAAGGGGACATCATTCATCGCAGAGACCACTGAAACCACAACACAGGGTGCAAGATTCCAGCGGGCTTTGCTGGGCCCTGTCGACGTTCCAGCGTAGGCTGTGTGGTCACAGTGTTGTTGCTGAGAAAACCAGCTATTTATCTGCAATTCTACTCAGTGCAGCAAACAGGTGCCTTTGAGAGAATATCAACAAGCCATGATAATCTCCCTCTGCATTGTTTTTAACGCAGTCAGAAATGACAGCTTGTCAACTACTTCTGATAACATGTAGACAGATTTACCGTCTTGGCTGGATTACTATTTTCCCCTTAGAAAAACATCCTAAATGCCTAAAGTACTACCTTGCGTTCAGCTGAAGAACTTCAAGGTTCCTACTACTTGGGCTGAGCTATGGAGGACTTTCACAGCACCTGCTCCGATGCTCGTAGGTCCCCTTGCAGTGGAACTTGTGAGCGGGGAACACAGTGAAGATCCCCTCCTCCGAGCTGAAGTACTGCCACTTGATCCCAAGGTTGGACTTGAGGTTGTCTGCAAGAACTGGAGGACGAGACACAGGGCTTGTCGTGAGTCTTTCTGGTGGGAGAGTCTGTCCACTCCTCTGCTCAACAGAAGTCCACCACGGGAATGTGCCAGAAACATAAAAAACTCTTGGAAAATGAAATGTCCAGAGGTCCAGAAACTTGGTATGGAGCCATTAGCGTAGGAAAGCTGGAAAAACAGCCTTCCAAACTACAACTACAGTGGTGGTTCTTCTCTTAGTCAACCTCGGCCACGCAAAATAGCGTGATGAACTGAACCTACAGCCGACAGAACCAAAAAGATGGTATTGCGGGCCCAGCTGTTCCAGGCAGTTAACCTCCATTATGACAGACATGGTGTCCCTTTGTGCTTTATCTGTGTTCCAGTTTGACGGTATCACGCAGAGTCCTGGTGATTATAATCAGACAGGACGATCCTTTGTAACCCTCGGAGGATGAGGCCAAACGGAAGGCGACTCTGAGCTGGAGAGCTTATGAGCTCGGGCAGCTGGAGTCCGTGGAACGCGGGAAAGCTGCGAACAGCTGGGGACACTGCGGGAGCCGGCACTCAGCGGAGCGGCCAGACGGCGCTCAGGCCAGACGGCTCTCGAGGGCTCCATCTCCATGCATCCCTCTCTGTGCCGGCGGCCTTTGTTTGGTCTCCCAGGCAACCGTAGGGAGCCACAACGTTAATAAAGGGCTTTTTGGGATTAATTAATTGCGTCTTCCCTAGTGTGAGTACAGAGACCCAGACAAGTGCCTGGATTCTATGAGCTGTTGTATAGAAGGTATGTAATGCATGTATCTCCCCGTGTTCTGCTGCAGTTGTCTTTCGGATAAACCTTTTTCATTCCTGTGCTCCTATAGTGCTGCGTTCTCCATAAAGATAAGGCACCTCCTCACTCACCAGGTGCCAATTTCACACAAGCTCCACTGAGGTACCCTGAGCAAGGTACCGCCCCCTAGCACTGCTCCCTGGGCGCTGAATTAGCTGCCCCCTGCTATGTCACATATGGTTTAAATGCAGAGGACACATTTCGTTGTTGTGCACTGTGTGCTGTGGTGTGTCAACAATGACCACTGATCACCAAGTTTTAATTCTAAACCAGGAAGGCAAAAGCATGACAGAGGTGCTGAAACTTCTACCAAGTATGGCTAATGACTATATTGTGTATAGCTTGGAGGGTTAGAAAGGTTACAGGTTTAATTCCTATGGTTCGCAGAGCAATTATGTCAATGTTGGACCCATAATCCCAACAATTTCAGGGATGCTGGCCAACTATGCTGTTTGGCCCTCACTTGCAGGCCGATCTAATCAAAAACTTCTGCTAAATAAGTGTTTTAAAAAATCAAAACAAAATCAGTTTTAAATCCGTGTTTCTTGCTTATTTATGCTATTGTGAACACTTATATGTATTTTGAACTGCAGATAAGTGGAATAAGACAAGACCAGCTATCAGACTTGACTTAAAAGGGCCTTTTCACAAGTGACCTGTTTTTACTTACATTCCAGTTAACTATCAATTACTGCTGCAAGTCTTAGTGTGATACTGAAATGAGCCGATGAATATTAATGTGACTTTGTTTCGACAATGCAGAGGACCCTCCTCACAGCTGCACCCCCCCCCCCATTTGCACGAGGGGCCGCCCCCTCCAGCGGACAGGCGGACTGTAAACAGACACATAAGTGCCTCTAGGGGAAAGGATCAGGTATAAACAAACAGGCCTAGAAGGTTCCTCAGACCACTTAAGTTCAGCACCCTTCTGCAGAGGATGACCGATAGGGCAAGAGAAGGACCACACCAATAGCAAGCAGCCCAAAGGCGCAAAGGCGTACTGGTAGAAGCTGACGATGTGGGGCTGGCTGGTGAGATAAGCCAAATGTTTTCCGTACATCTTCAGCACGTCTCCGGAGTTAAGTGACTGAACATGGTTACCTGACTTCACAGCATTAGTGAATATCCCATTCAGACCACAATGGGGCCTTTTCACCATACTTGTTAATTAACTAATTAAACTATATAAACAAACAATACCGTGGAAAATGCTACGGCTGAATTTCTGAGGCTAATACCAAGTAGCCTGATTTATAAATGCATTTCCTATTTGTGAGGTCCATACAGATTCCAAGGGAGAACAAACAACATACAGAAAAACGCTAACACTATTAAGCTCTGAATTACGAGACGAGGCAATTCCTTTACGCCGATGTCAATACGTGTTTAATGAGACTGATATCTGTCTCAGGTAAAGGAAGCCATTGGCAGAGAAGCATTTCACACTTTCTCCAGTACAGAACAAAAGGTATGACTAGGAGGTCTGATGGTGCTGTTTTCCACACCTTTGAGAAAAGCTTTGTGAAAATGAGTGACACAAATGGCACTTTTCCACTGGCATATCAACATACTGACATATCATGGAACCAACCCGTACCTGAAATGTACTGCAAAGAGACTAGTTACAGAGCGGTTCCCGCTCACTTTGGTTTTCCATTGCAGAAGGGTCGGCCCGGTAAAGGTGCTGTCGGGTTTAGAGAGCAATAGTGACGTAGAAGTTAAGAGACGTTTATTTACTGTTCACATGGTGTACATTGTAATTTACTATGTGCTAACTTCTACTGGCAAGTCTGTGAGAATCGGCATGCTATATTGTCATCAAATGCTAATGGAATTAGCATTTACTTGTGTAAATCTGCATTAGGAATCCATTCCAGTCAGCCATACCATACAATACTTTTTCCGGGTAGGAGGTTGGAAATTTTCTAGTTCCAAATTATTATGTCAGATAATCCAGGCCTAGTCAATGCAGAACACCACTACCTCCCTACATTCCAATGCAACCAGCTCAGTTTGTAAGCAGGGCCCAGTCAGCGCAGTTACTGATTGGGTACGGCTCGCAAAATTTATAAAGGAAAACCATCTGTTTACAGTACAGCTCAGTTCTTGGTGGCATAAGTGAGGCTGCAGAGAATTTACATGAACTTCACCTTCAATTACAGGGGATAGAGAAACACTTTGCCAGACTTAAGGTATATACAAGACTATGTGAATAGCATATATCAGTGTTTCCCATCCCAGTCCTTGAGGAATCCCATCTGTCCATATTTTTGCTCTCTCCCAGGTCCTGACTTATGGATGGAGTACCATCAATAAAAATAATTAAAACAGGCAAATTCTGCAAACATGGCCTATCGTTGGTAATTATATCATCATAATTACATGAACACATGCAACTGCTGCCAAATTTAATCTTGGCAAATTGGAATCAAGTTCAATGTTTTTCATGCAAATGAGTGTCAATGTTCCAACTGTAACCCGTTATTAAATAGTTCATTTACTGCTGGGAAATCTCAGACAGCCAGGGGGGATACTTGCTTATGGTGTACTGCCAAAAAACACAAACATACCATGCAAGGATACTGGCTTTACACTTAAAGTAAAAGGGGACACATAACACAGAGGTCAAAAGACCATAAACAAACAATAAATAAATCAGTTAATGAAATGATCACTAACATTCCCAGGTCTGTGGGAATCATTACAAGTGAATCATTCATGCTGCTTAAGGATACAAAAGCATTTTTTAAATTAAAAAACTGGCCAAATACACGTAAAATAATCGAAAAATTGAGCTTAACTGTCGGTATTATCCCAGGAAAGTATTCACAACATGTAGTTTAGCAATATGCTAGTTGCCTCACTTGTATTTTGCTTTGGACAAAAGGCATCTGATAAATATGTTAAATATATATGTTTTTTCCCCATGTTGTACAACTCATTGCAACAGAAAAGGACTGAACAATATGCACGATGCACCACACTGAATATGACCGAGAGGAAAGAGAGCGGGAGAATCTGAAAAAAAAAGAACACAAACCAAAAAGAACAGAAATGGAAAAAAGAACGACAAGATCAAGGATTCGGCATGTAATGCATTTGGTTTATGAAAACCCAGCCTCTATGTGAGAGAGAGACTCCGACAGACTGCGCCACCCAAGTCTCCCATCATATCAAAACCTTTCAATTTAAAATTTAATGACACACAGGGAATATTTAGTTCTCTGAAGTTAGTTGCCATGGAAACGCTCCCCTAGCTTTAACCAACTCCGTCGTGGTGCGCGAGCAATGGGGAGAATGGTGATGGAGAGAAGGGAGAGAGGAGAGAGGAGAGATCGCACCTGAATTGAGGTCCCGGCCGGGATTAAAGGCTCGGCTGTTGACGGTGGGCGACAGGCGGTCACAGCAGATGGTTTTGGAGACGTTCGTGTTGAAATTGCCGTCGAAACTGAGAAAGAGGACCAGAGAAGAACCAATCACATGACACGTTCAGCGCTGTGTGGGTGGAGCTTTATGGGCCCTAGAACCCAAAACAATCCCAATGGACAATGCAATTTAACATTTGCAGAGCCCACTCTGTTTGGCAACATCACATGACCCCCATCACATGACCCCCATCACATGACCCCCATCACATGATCCCCTTGCGCATGGAAACTTCGGAAGCCGGAAGGACTCGCAATTTTGCAGACATTCAACAAGCAGCAATTTGACAGGAGGGCCCCCAACGCTGTGAAATCCAGTCCTGTTGCATTATGATGAAAAAATTTGGGGGAGGGGGGTAGAATTTCAAGGTAATACAAGCAAAAATAATCGAGAAGGGTGTGGCAGCAGTAATGGGGTAGGTTTTGAGGGGTGGTTGGACACCAGTCTGCGTTGGGGAAAGCATTTACATGCCCAGAGCCTATTTTGGCCTTGAAGCGAACCCAAAGGCCACCTTAGAAGCGACCTTGACCGTGGAGCCCGTGCGTATCGAGTTGCTTGCGGGTCACGCGGAGCCTCGAGCGCTGGCTCAGATGGCGGCCCAGACCCCCGCGTTTCCGGGGAAACGGCATTGTTTCCAGGCCGCCTCAGTTTCCCTTTAACGAACGGCTGCTCAAAAGTGACGCCCCCCCCCCCCCCCCCGGAGGGAAAAAACCCACTCCATGCATTGGGCTTTGATGACAACCCCCCCTCCACCCCGAGTGACTCAACCAGTCAGGGCTCCAAGCCCCACACATGTGCACACACGCACACACACACACATACACACGCACACACGCACGCACACACGCACACACACACGCACACACACACGCACACACACACGCACTCATACGTCGGGTAAACATATCCTTATGGGGACCACTCCTTCATTTCTATGGGAAAAATGCTAACACTAACTATGACAACCTTAACCCCCACCCAGCCCTAACCATAACCATAAGTAACCAAACAAAATACAAGAGTTTTTGCGATTTTAGTTTTTTCACAGCAGTCACCAATTTTTATAAAATAGAGTTTTCACGTACAAGGACCAGGAAACCAAGAAAAAAAAACAGATATTTATCACATTATGGGGACATTTTGTCCCCATAAGGATAGGTATACCAGTTCGCA